TTGCTGTCTTTCTAATTCTTTGAGTTGTAGAGTTAGATGATTTACTACCATTTTTTCTTGTTTTTTGAGATAGGCCTGTAGAGCTATAAACTTCCTCTCAGGACTGTTTTCATTGTGTCCCATAGGTTTTGGATTGTTGTGTTTTCGTTGTCATTAGTTTCCAGGATGTTTTTGATTTCTTCTTTGATCTCATTGTTAACGCAATCAATATTTAATAACATGCTATTCAGCTTCCCAAGTGTTTGAGTATTTGGGGTTGTTTTTATTGTAGTTTATTTCTAATATTATGCCATCGTGGTCTGAGAAGATGCTTGGTATGATTTCAATCTTCTTGAATTTGGGGAGACTTTGCTTGTGACCCAATATGTGGTCTATTTTTGAATATGTCCCATGAGCATCAGAGTGGAATGTATATTCCGTGGCTTTGGGGTGAAGTGTTCTGAAGATGTCTATTAAGTCCATCTGATCTAGTGAGTCATTTAGGATTGCTGTATCTTTGCTGATTGTTGTCTAGAGGACTTATCCAGTGATGTCAGTGGTGTATTAAAGTCCCCTACTATGATTGTATTGTTGTCGATCTCTCCTTTGATATCTTCCAGGAGTTTTTTTTATGAATTTGGGTGCTCCTGCATTGGGTGCATATATGTTTACCAGAGTTATATCTTCTTGTTGTATTGATCCCTTTAGTATTATGAAGTGGCCTTCCTTATCTCTTGTTATGGCCTTCACTTTGAGGTCTATTTTGTCCGATATAAGTATTGCTACCCCAGCTTTCTTTTCCTTTCCATTTGCCTGAAAGATATTTTTCCATCCCTTCACTTTCAGTCTGTGTGAGTCCCTTCTAATGAGGTGGGTCTCTTGTAGACAGCAGATGTATGGGTCATGTTTTTTTTGTTTGTTTGTTTGTTGTTGTTTTTTTTTATATTTTATTGAATTTTTTACAGAGAGAAAGGGAGAGAGATAGAGAGTCAGAAACATCGATGAGAGAGAAACATCGATCAGCTGCCTCCTGCACATCTCCCACTGGGGAGGTGCCCGCAACCCAGGTACATGCCCTTGACCGGAATCGAACCTGGGACCCTTCAGTCCGCAGGCCGACGCTCTATCCACTGAGCCAAACCGGTTTCGGCGGGTCATGTTTTTTTATCCATTCAGCCACTCGATGTCTTTTGGTTGGAACATTTAGTCCGTTTACGTTTAAAGTTATTATTGAAAGGTACTTGTTTATAGCCATTTCTTTTTTTGTGTGGCTTTTTTCTTTCTGAGCTTTTTATTTATTCTTTTTACACCAGTCCCCTTAGCATTTCTTGCATTGCTGGCTTGGTGGTGATAAACTCCCTTAGCCTTTTTTTGTCTGTGAAGCTTCTTATTTCCCCTTCAATTTTGAATGATAGCCTTGCTGGATAGAGTATTCTTGGATTCAGTCCTTTGCTTTGCATCACTTTGTAAATTTCCGTCCATTCTTTTCTGGCCTGATGTGTTTCTGTTGAGAAATCATTTGATAATCTAATGGGAGATCCCTTGTATGTAACTTTCCGTCTCTCTCTTGCAGCCTGTAAGATTCCCTCTTTGTCCTGAACATTTGCCATGGTAATGATGATGTGTCTTGGTGTGGGTCTTTTCAGGTTCACCTTGTTGGGGACTCTCTGTGCTTGTGTGACTTTTTTCTTCCCCACCTCAGGGAAGTTTTCTGATATTATTTCTTTGAATAGGTTTTCTAATCCTTGTTCCTCTTTCTGTTGTTCTGGCACCCCTATTATTTGTATGTTGTTTCGTTTCATGTTGTCCCAAAGCTCCCTTAGGCTCTCCTCCTGTCTTTTAATTTTTTTCTCCAAGTGCAGTACAGTTTGGGTGTGTTTTGCTTCCTTGTCTTCTAATTCACTAATTCGGTCCTCTGCTTCTCCTAGTCTACTGTTGATACTTTCAATGGTGTTTTTTATTGCAGCTATATCGCTCTTCATTTCTTCTTGGGTCTTACTTAAGTTGTTGATTTTTTTCATCTGTTTCTTCTAGCTTCTTGCATATGTTATTGATTTTTTTCCTCCGTCCGGTTTATGCACTCTAGGACCCTTATTCTGAATTCTTTTTCTGTCATGTTGCATGCCTCTGTATCACTTAGCGGCTTTTCTGACGAGTCCTCTTTTTCTCTCCTTTGGGGGTTTCTTTGTCTACCCATGTTTGATCTCACTGACATATCTAGACATTGAGTCGTTCAGTGGCTGCTCCCTGGGTGGCAGTGACTCCTTGGGCTGTGGTTGCTCTTCAGGCAGTTGCGGTAGCAGCTGCTCCTCAGTTGGCAGCAGCTCCTCTGGTGGGTGCTGTTCACAGCTGTGGTGGCTCTTCTGGCTGGTGGGGGGAGGTTTCACATACAGCTGCTGTTCCTCAGACAGAGGGTGTGGTGCTCAGGAGGCTGCTGTTGCTTGGATCTGCTGCGTTGATTTAAAGGCACAAAATACAACACAACAAGGCACCACGTACCAGGCACTAAACACAAATATATTCACGATATTAATAACCCCTAATAAAGGTGACCACCCGAATTAAGAGAATTAGGGGATAAGGAAGAAAGAAGAGGAAAAGATAAAAGAGAAAAAAGAAAAGAAAAGTAGGGACCAAAAAAAGGAGTGCAAAAATGAAATTGGGAAAAAGGAGGGGGGGAAATAAAAGAGAGAAAAGAAAAGAAAAAAAAAGAGCAAAAAGAATGAAGTGGAAGAGGGGAAGAGACTATTTATATGAGGAGATAACTCCTATAGAACTGCCACTAATCCCAACAAATTCCAGCAACAGCTCCCTGGAGATGAATGCAAACTAGAAACAACCAATGATATCAAGAGAGGCAAGGGAAAACAGAAGCACAAAAATAACCGGGGGGGATGGGTGGAGGGAGGGGAAAAACCAGCAGAAAAAAATAAAAATAAAAAGCAAAACAGCCTCACAACCAGTCCTAAAACACACACACACACAAACAAGCAACAACAACAAAAAAACAATATACTCAACAATCAAGCAAACAGCAACAAAACAATAGAAACATAAAAGAAGAAGAAAAAATTTTGGATAGTGAAGAAAGATAAGGGGTATGTGTATAAAGATTTAGAGCAGTGGATTGGAAATAGGATATATAAGTAGGGTGAAATTTTGACAGGAGGTAAACAGAAGGAATAGGGAAAATCTAAAGCAGGAATAGGGTAAGAGAAACAGGACAACAAAAGGGGAAAAGTGAGGGAGAGGGTTTTAGCATAGAGGTAAAATTGAGGTAGGGAAAATTGTTGCTAAAGGAACGATGAAAATAGAATGGAGAACACTAATCCTAAAATAAAATAAAGAGGAAATAAAATGGCACTTTAAAAAATGGTAAAATGGTAGCAGTAATAATACTGGTTAAAAATAAGAATGTAGTAATTAAAATGGTAAAATCAGGTGATGGAAAAAGAAGAAAAAAAAAATTGGTTTCTTAGTTAAAAGGTGAAAAAAGAAAAACAAAATTTGCAGTAGTGAAGGTCCTTCGGTTCTTCTACTCGTCAGTCTAGCTCGCCTTAGTCCTGCCAGGTATTCAGGAAAGTGTTGAATTTCCCTGCGATACACTGTTCCTCTGTGTTGCAAACCACAGTCCTTATTTTAAAGCAGGCCGTATTTGTTTCCCAGACTGCCTTATTTTGTGTTTAGCAAAGAGTCAGTTTGTGGCTCAGCCTCTGGGTGGCAGTGTTCTGGGGTTGGCCTCTGAGGCTATGCGGCTTCTCTATCGCACTTAAAACTGTTTTGGGGAGGTCAACTATCCAGAGCTGTTTCTTTAATCGTTACCCTGCTCTGTGTTGTTGCTGGGATTGAAAATCCCTCTATAGGCCAGACCCTGTTCTGATAGAGTTTTTAAATCTTAAAAATGCCCTTCGGTTTAGATGAGTTAGCTTGGAATATGAGGTACCTATACTTGGCAGTTCTGATTGTATTTAATGCTATTTAAGAACACCATGGTCAGGTGCTAGCCTTTGTTTCATTACAATCTACAGAATAGTCTGGACTTCACAGCATCTATCCTAGCACAACCAGTTTTCCTGTTAGAGTCTTTGGGTGTTGATTCAGGATCACCATCAAATTATAAGTCCAGAAGTCCCCTGTTAACACCCCATCACCAACCCTATATGTATTTATATCTGTCATTAGTAGATATTCATTGAATGTAAGACACTGAGGATTCACCATTATTTTATGAACCAGTAAGAAAAGTCATTGCCAACTATGACATATTATCATTGTAAAACACATCCCAGTTTCAGTTATGTTAAAATGTAGGAAACCTATGCATCAGAGAATCAATGAAATACATTGTGGCAGTTTGCTATGAGTAGAAAATGGGTTTATGTACCACTCAAATGAATATTATTTTAGGTAGATGTAAGGTCTGTTCCCATTTGGCAGAGCAATCTCCTAGTAAGGGAAGCTTCTTCAAGTACCTGCTAATCTGTAACTTGAGGCCTGCAAGCATCTCCTTGGAGCTCTGGCTTACGCTGTCACTGGCCAGTGCTGGATGAAAGGAGAATACAAGCCATCCTATATCATAAAAGCATAGTATGCAAATTGTCCCCTCCACCGGAAGTCCTTCTGGGATTTCAACCAGGGAACAGGGCCAGCTGGGGGGAGGGAGAGAGGCCTTGGCCGGTGGCAGGTGACTGGGGGAAGGGAGGGAGGCCTTGGCCGGCCGCTGCCAGCCACTAGGGACCCTACCAGTGCACAAATTTCATGCACTGGGCCTCTAGTGTTTTATAAATAACAAAAGTTGGTAAGTGATTTGCTTTAGCATAAGTGTTTTAAGAGCATCTCTATTGTGCAAAGGAGGTTCATTTGTGTAACAGTATTTACACAAATGAACGGCTGCCTCCTGGGGATCGAGTTGGTGCATGGGGGCCCTTTCACTGCTTAGTGGTGGACAAGTGGCTTTGTTTATAAGCTTGACACAGTTACTCTTAACATTACTCATGTCTTGTATCCACTGTCCTATTTAGGTTTTCAGCTGCTACTAAAGATAATGAATACAAGCGGTCCCTGACCAAGACTCCAGCCAGAAAGTCTCCACATGTGTCCATATCTGGGAATACCCCAAAAGGCCAGGCTGTGCTTGGGACAAACAAGTTAAAGGCCACAAAGAGGGATTCTGCTACAGGTAAAAAAATGAATTGGTTCATCTTTAAGCCATGTAACTTTCTGAAATTAAGTTTATCTGTTTCCTTAAGCCTCTCCATATCTGTAAAATCAAAAGCAAACATTTCCCCATAGCGTATTTTTCATTGTATATGAGTGAGGGACATGCTAGAATCACTAACAAAAAAACAGTGTCTGCCTGAGGACTCCATCCCGTCCAAGAGGAGTCCTAAGATGGTGACCCTCCCTGAAGGGCATTCAGCCCCTTCTCAGACCCAGGGATGAGGAGGACCATGACAGCCTCCAGTGGCCTGCAGGACTCTGAAATGAACAGGATCCCAGAGTTCATGGAATCAGTGCCACACTATTGACTAGTGGACTGGGTGAGCCAGAATAAGCCATTTAGATACCCTTCTTATTAATAACAAACAAAGCCATGAATCTTTTCCATTTATGTGATTTAGGTTCCTTGCAGGCTTTATGTCTGTATTAATGAAAATATTACTATTAGTAATATGTCATTTTTAAGAAGGGTAAATAATATCAGTGAAATTCTTTAAACAGGATTCTAAACTCCCAGCTGATCCTAGGAAATCTCGTAATGTTTAGACTATTTGGGGAGAAGCTAACAGGGGAAACAAATCTCAGTGGTTAACTTTCTTCAGTTATTCTTTTCTCCTCCCTTTTAACCTTACATTTGTCTTGGACTTTTCATATAGATTATATTTTTAAGATTGAGAAGTGATACTTTAATAAAAAACTATAACGTGTCTTTTTTTTCCCTCTAATCAAGCCCTTGGGTTTTGTGTTGGCTTTTTTAGTTATTACCCCATTCAAGTTTTCAGCTGAAGCAGCACAGACTCCAGTCTCCAACAAGAAACCAGTGTTTGATCTCAAAGCAAGTTTGTCTCGTCCCCTCAACTATGAGCCACACAAAGGTATGTGGGATGTTTTGCGGTACAAGACACGCAAAGACCTAAGATCAACTCATTTCCCACTGAGGCTGTGACTCAGATGGAAACCTTACTTGTCCGCGTAGAATTCCTGCCCCCGCTCCTCATGATTAAAAAGAATGTCCATTAAGCAAATATTAAATAACTGATTCACTTACATTTTTGTTAATCAAAGACATAATTTCTAATCAATGTTACTACAAAGAATTGAAATTTCAGCCAAAATCAAGAAACTTAGAAGTGAGCCTGTGGGTTAATGAATGTTTTCTTTATAGCTATCAAAGGATCCCAGGCTGCTGGGAACCACTGGTCCAACAACTGGGATGTTCATTGGCCAGATGTCATTGAGCATATATTAAAGTATTCTTACATCTATAAAAAATATCAATACTTATTGTGATCTATCTTTTGTGCTTTGGGAATTACTTTTTTTTTTTTTTTTTTAAATATATTTTATTGATTTTCCACAGAGAGGAAGGGAAAGAGATAGAGAGTCAGGAACATCGATGAGAGAGAAACATCGATCAGCTGCCTCCTGCACATCCCCCACTGGAGACGTGCCCGCAACCCAGGTACACGCCCCTGACCGGAATCGAACCCGGGACCCTTCAGTCCGCAGGCCGACGCTCTATCCACTGAGCCAAACCGGTTTCGGCAGGGAATTACTTTTTTAAAAAGCTTCCTACAATAATCATGTTTATGTAATAATGTTTATCTTTAAATTACGAATGTCAATGAAACATAATGAAAACATAAATCTTATTTAGTTGTGGTAAAAATACATCTACTTCTGTCACTCACCCATTTTTTCCCTCAAGTTTTCCCATCTGTGGCAATGGCACCTCTTTCTGCTGAATTATCTACTGAGTCGTCAGGGCAGAAACTTAGGAGTCCTCTTTGGCTCCTCACTTTCTCTTAGACTTCATCTCCAGCCCATCAGCTAGTCCTTTCACCTCTACCTTTGAAAAAGATCTTTAATCAGACCACTTTCACCCCTCCATTGTGGCTTCCTTTGGTCCAGGTCATCATCATCATTTACCTGGGCTTCTAGAATAGCCTCCTTGCCCCACTACAACCTAAAAAACAAACAGAGCACAGCCTGCCCTGCTCAGAATCTCCTGAGTTTCCCATCTCTTTCCCAACTTCAGTCACCGCCTCCATCCTTCCCTGACTTTGGGACAAACACATTGGTGTTTCAGTTCCTCAGACACACCCAGCTCCTTCCCACCTCCCGGTCTTTGCATTGTGTCCCTCTGCTCCACCTGGAATATTGTTGCCACAGACCTTTGCACACCTTGCTCCCTCGTTTTACTGGGACATCCACTCAGCTATCACCAATTCCAGCCTTTCCTCTACTCCCTGCCTCCCAGTCTTTACTCCTTAGCCTGGTCCACATTTCTTCATAGAATGGGTCACCACCTGATGTTATGTTCCTTTACTGTCATCTACTTCTACCACTGGCATGTAAGCCCAAGAAAGCAAGGATTTTGACTACTTGGTTCACTGCTTATGTCCCCAGCTCCTACAACAGTCCCTGGCACATACAACTTTCACTCTAAAGTGTTTGCTGTGGGAATGACTATGACACCAACTTTGGCTGATGGTAGAAAACCTGGATTAAAGCTTCATTTGTGCTTATTATTTTTTATCCTAGACAAGTCAGTTAGTACTACTTCAGTAGTTATTGATTAAATGATAATGATGGGTGTGAACATCATTTTTATGAAATGGGAAACATGCAAATGATAATCACTGGTACTCAGATATAGGTCATAAACTATAAAAATAAAGCAATACCTAAACATCTGGAATTTGTTCTAAAGCCAACAAAATATTCCCACTTGTTCTATTCCAAATACAATTTACGAGGAAACGGCAATAAACTGCACAGGGGAAGTACCACTTTTTTTAAATACCACTTTAATATCTATAATAATAAAAGCATTATATGCTAATTAGACCGGATTTCCTTCTGGACCATGAAGCCAGGGCTGCAAGGTAAGCCCAGGTCCCGGGTGCCAGACGGAAGCTGGTTCTGGCAGCTGGGGGAAGGAAGGCCTACTCTTGCATGAATTTCGTGCATTGGGCCTCTAGTTTATATATATAAAAGGCTAGTATGCTCAGTGTCTGACCATCCAGGTAATGACATCACGTAGCAACACCCGGCTTCCTTTCCCTAGCGACAACTAGCCTCCTTGGATTTTCTTCAGCCCTGACTTGCTTTATAGCCAGGTGCAAACATTTCACACTTTAACCAAATGTCCATGAAGCGTTTTCCCGTGCCTCATATCATTTGATCCTCACAGAATCCTGGAGTAGGTAGATAGGCAACTCAGTGGAATCCTATTTTCCACTGAAAAAGGAAATTTAGAAAGCTTAGAAACTTGACTGAAAAGAAGTAAGAAATGGTGGACCTTGGAAATGACTTCAGGTTTTCTCACTGTGCGGAATATAGTGAAACACTGCTGCAGTTAAATATTTTACCCGTTGTTCTCCCTGCGTGATCTACAATAATAATCTGTTTCATGTTGATATTTACTGCTGTGTTGCTGACAATTACCTGAAAGAGAAGTTGGGGTGCTTCACTGGGCTGGAAAAAGTTTAGCTAAATCAGAAAGCTGGTCTAATTAAGCAAGTTTATTCTATATATATAAAAGGCTAAGTTGACTCCTGCATGGGAGATACATATAAAGCTCTTGCTGGCGCCAGTTGCACACGTGTGTTTCGATCTGTCATTGTTGATCGTGAATTTGGTTGACACTTCTATTAAAGAGAAAGGGCAAATAGCGATATTAAAATATTTCATCTAATTAATTTCCTTTCAATGTGCATGATCATGCACTGGGCCACTAGTTAAACATAATACCTATGCAACCTTGAAATAAACTGCTTGGTTGTAATGGTTCCTTTTAATGTGCTATGTAATGGGAGTTGTTTTTTGTTTTTAGTGTTAAGGTTTTCTTTCTTTTTTTTATTAATATATTTTTATTGAATTCAGAGAAGAAGGGAGAAAGAGAAAAAAATACCACTGATGAGAGAGAAACATTAAGGTTTCTCTTTGGCTTTCCAAGGATTAAAAAATAGAACACATGCCCAGCCAGTGTGGCACAGTAACTGAGTGTCTACCTATGAACTAGGAGATCACAGTTTGAGTCCAGGTCAGGGCACATGCCAGGGTTGCGAGCTCTATCCCCAGTAGGGGGCATGCAGGAAGCAGCTGATCAATGATTCTTATCATTTATGTTTCTCTCTCTCCCTTCTTCTCTGAAATAAAAACATTTTTTTAAAATAGAACATGTTATTTAGAGAAAAATTGCAATTTATATCTGTGGAATATGAAATTGAAATTAATAAAAGACTTACACTGGCAAATGTCTATTAAAACAAAGTATAAATGTTGATAGCAAGCAAATAGCCACAGATGAATAAACTTAAGACTATAAATACAAAAGTCTTCATTAATCTGTCTTTGTCTCTGTCCTAAACTAGGAAAACTGAAACCATGGGGACAATCTAAAGAAAATAAGTCTCTGAATGAGCATGTAAGCAGAGTTAGCTTCCACAAGAAAACTTACAAACAACCTCGTCTTCAGACCAGGTGAGCACATAATTATCCAGTTCTATAAGTCTTTTTATTTTGAAAGACTGTATATAAAAGCAGAACCTCTGAGGAATAGAGTCTCAGTAAGTGGTGTCTAAGAGGCTAGAAGTGGAATCACATTAGAACTTTCTAAAAGTTCTAATTGTGGATTCTAATTCAGTAGGTTCGAGGTGGGGCCCAAGCATCTGCATTATTTCCAAAGCTCTACAGGACATTCACAGGAGGACTCCGATTCAGGGCACTGCTTTTACATGATCTGTCTGCCCAAACTGTGGACCTGATATCCCTCCAGATGCCAGTGCCCAGGGCACCTAGTTATGCAGACAGATGTAAATTTTTTACTTTCAGGGAAACCAGGTTTATTAGGCTTCAAGGCCCTACATGGGGAAAACCCAGGATGGTCCTTAGAGGCTTTCATCTTCATGAAAACCAAGTTAAAGGCAGAGCTTGCCCTGGGCTGCAGCTGGTCCTGGTTGAGTCGACTCCCTGCATGAAACCCTCCTGATACAGAGTTACCTGTCATTTGACTTGCCTACATCCACCTGCCACCAAAACCTTTAATGACAGTATTTGCTATTAAGATCATTAACATGATCCTGAGACTTCTCTCCCCTTCCCCCACCCCCCAAATCCCTTTCATAAAAACATAGTGGTTTAAGGCAGTGGTTCGTAGTTCCATGTTTTCACTAGACTATGTAATTTTGAGCTTGACCTTTGACTTCCAGAAGTAGACATTTATCAAAACTACAGGGGTTGGGTTTAGGTACCAGGGTACCTTCTGGTTGCAGTTCTGTGCTTGACTTTAGGATTTATAGCCCTTTAACACAGCAGTGATTTTCATCAGCGACCACCAGATCAGTCTGCAGCATGCCCAGAACTGTTTTACACAGTGTGCTGGGCATCTTTACGTTCGGACAGTGTCCGACAAGTGCTCCCAGGGGGTCTGTAGCGGAGCTTCACTAGAGCCTAATGTGCACCTGTCCCTCTTAGGGAGGAGCAACGGAAGAAACATGAGCAACAACGAAAGGAGAAGAAAGCCGAGCTGTTGGGAACTCGAAGGGGCCTTATTATGGCTGCAGATTAATAGTTGAACATTCTGTAAATATTCCTTTATTCTGAACCGTTTTTGTAAATATTTTTATACTGTCCTTCCTACTTTAGTCAAAAGATCTTTTTCTGCTCTTAACTTTGTTCCTAAGTCCCTGTACAACTCAGTATTTTAATGAGATCTATCCTATACTTTTTTTCCCCATCCTATAGATTCTTGACCTAGATTTTTAATGTCAATTTCCCCCTCCTGGCTCTAATATTAACAGAATTGCAATCCTCTTCTAGGCAAGAGCATTTACCTAAAGGTAGCTTATTATAGCACACGCTTTAGTAGAAATTGAACAGTACTAACTTATGGATAGGGTAAGCTGGGAGAAGTCCCCTTTTTATCCTCCAGAGAATCTAGTCATCTTAATAAAACAAGGGCCCATATGGATTGGTTATGGCATCAAAATGTTACCCATGTAGTTTTTTTCAAGCTTACATACCTTTTGTTCAACTCACTTCTTGTAATTGTCATCTCACTCAATATATTCTTAAAAACAAAAACTCTATAGCTCATTCTAGCCTTGCTTATTTAACAATATACAAGGCTATGTTGAAATTTCAGGATTGTTGCTTTAAGGATTACTGTGCTGTCAAACTTAAATTTTATTCAACGTATGGAAAAACTAGAGTTTCTTAGCATCATATCCATGTTTGTTGCACCTAAATGGAACTTCTGAGTTTTGTACTGCTTCAGATTTTCATAAATAAAGTGTTTTCTCTCAGGGATAGATTCATTCTTTGTAAATGTAATTGGCTTCCAAGATTTAGTTGACCAACAAAGATGTACTCCTCATGCATCCTCTCCTGACCACCCACTCCCACCCCAAGAAGAAATGCTGATGTCCTTCTTTTGTATTTTCACATACACAAACCCACCGAACAGGACATATTCCTGGGAACTTAATAAACTTAGATTTTGCTATCACGAGGCAGATACCAGATCAATCAAGAAACCTTGTGGTAACTGTCAAATACACTGCTGCTGAGAAAGTAAAATTATACCACCACCTTGAAAAACAGTTTAGTAATTTCTTTAAAATGTAAATGTATGTCTACCATATAACCCAGCAATTCTACACCCAGGTATTTCACCAAGAGAAATGAAAACACATGTCCACACAAATATATAACAATATTATTCAAAGTAACCAAAAAGTGCAGCTATCCATCAATGGATGAGTGGGTTTGAAAAGATTCTCATGCACTAAAAAGGAATGAAGTACTTTTTTTTTTAAATGTATTTTTATTGACTTCAGAGAGGAAAGGAGAGGGAGAGAAACATCAATGAGAAAGAATCATTGATCGGCTGCCTCCTGCACGCCCCCTACTGGGGATCGAGCCTGCAACCCGGGTATGTGCCCTTGACTGGAATCGAACCTGGGACCCTTCAGTCTGCAGACCGATGTTCTATCCACTGAGCAAAACCAGCTAGGGTGGAATGAAGTACTTTTAACATGCTACAACATGGATGAACCTCAAAGACATGCTAAGTGAAAAGAAGCCAGACACAAAAGACCATACGTGATGTGATTCTATTTAAGTGAAATATCCAAAGAAGATAAACCTATTGAGAAAATAGATTAGTAGTGACCAGGGGCTGGAGAGTGACTACAGAGGTGCACTAAGGTTTCTTTTTCGGCTGATGGAAATTTTCTAAAGTTAGCTTGTTGTAAAGACTGCACAATTCTCTAAAATACTAACAATCATTGATTTGTAAATTTAAAACAGGCAAACTTTGTGGCCCCGGCCAGATAGTTCAGTTGGTTACAGCGTCTTCCTCATATGCCAAGGTTGTAGGGTCTATCTCCGGTCAGGGCACATACAAGAGTTAACCAATGAATGCATAAATAAGTAGAACAACAGATTGATGTTTTTTTCCTCTCTCTCAAAATCAATAAGAAAAAAATTTTAGTATTTAAGTATAAATAAAAGAATTAAAAAGTGTATAACATATAAAAATATATATAAACAGACTGCTCTAGCTGGTTTGGCTCAGTGATTAGAACCCAGGCCTGCAGACTGAAGGGTCCCAGGTTCAATTCCGGTGAAGGGCACATGTCCAGGTTGCAGGTCGGTGCTCAGTAGGGGGCGTGCAGGAGGCAGCCAATCAATGATTCTCTCTCATCATTGATGTTTCTATCTCTCCCATCATTGATGTTTCTATCTCTCCCTCTCTCCTCCTCTCTGAAATCAATAAAAATGTTTTAAAAAAAAAATAACATAAACTTTGTTATATAAACTATACCTCAATACAAGCTATTAAAAACAAAGGATAATTACATGAAAATACACAAAATAGATTGTAGGCCAAGATGATGGAACAGCTATTTGTGGCGAGTCAGCATGGCCATGGCATACTCAGCCCCAGGGTGCCTTATGTGCCGGCCAGCTCAGCCAGGTTTGGTGAGCCTGAGTGGAGGCGGTGAAGGATTGAGAAAAGACAAGAGAAGGAAGCTGGGTCTCGGTGGGACACTGTCCTCTCTGATGGAGACCCAGCTTTCTTCTCTTGTCTGTCTTTTCTCAATCCTTCTCCACCCCCTCAGGCTCACCAAACCTGGCTGAGCTGGCGGGGCACATAAGGCACCCTGGGGCTGAGTATGCCATGGCCGTGCCCGCTAGCCACAGCTATTAGCCTTTTCATATGTTGAAACCCCAATTTCCAACATGATGGCACTTGGAGGTAGGACCTTTTGGAGGCAATTAGGTCTTGAGGATTGAGGCCTTGTGTTGGGATTAGTGTCTGTAAAGAAGGGAAAGAGACCATGTGAGGATACAGCCAAGAAGGCAGCTGTCTATAAGCCAAGAAGTGGACACTCACCTGATACCAGATATGTAAGTACTTTGATCTTGGACTTCTCAGCCCTCAGAACTGTGAGAAGTAAATGTATGTTGTTTAAGACACCTGGTCTATAATAATTTGTTATAGCAGCCCGAACAGACTAAGCAGGTCTAAGTATGTCTTTTCTCAGGGACTTCAATAGCACCTTTATCTTAATATTCTTCAGCAGTCTTCCTCAAAGATGGATTAGAAAACAGAAGAAACCTATAAGGAACAGAGTGGTAGTAGGCCATCATCAGTCATCTCAAAGACTCCTTGCTTTGGAAACCATGCAGGAATCGTTATAACCGAAAACAGTTACTTATATAGTATCTATGCATCAGTATAGTAACTGTATTCTCTGAGTTAAGGTACAGTTTAGAACTTGGTTTCCCTCTATATGGTACCTCTTAGGAGGAGCATTTAGCTTTCTCTTAGGGAATACATACCGGCCACTGATGTGATGCCATTAAAGAAATATTTTATTTTGTCTCTGTATCAGCATGGATACTACACTACTACGTAATCTCTATTTAAAAAGTCTTGGGTTAAGCACTGGAGAATTTTCATAGGCAAATTCTTCTGTGTGGGCTGGGTCAGCAAACACTCCAATAAAATCTATTTCCAGGAAGAATGGACCATCCACTTTATCAGCCAGGGTGAATCCAATAGAGGAGATCTAAATTTAAAATAGAGAAATTGATCAAAATCGCATACTAAAATTCCATGAGATGATTACTATAGCTGAGTCTTTATACTACACTATCAGCCCTTAGCAAGTATACCATAGTTTTCATATGCTGTAGCAAATTACGAGGAAATACAGGGCTACTTTTCTTTCCACACTCTACTTCCTTTCCTTTTCCTTTAATGTAGTGCCACTTAAGCTAGTGAGGACAACATGGGTGTCTAATGGAGGTTCTTGAAGCTTTCCTGAACTCAATACTGTTCTCTTATTTTAAAGCTAAAATAAAATGTAGGCATGCTCAAGAGAAGACCATGATGAAATTCTCCAGGATAGGGATTTGGCTCAAAGGATAGGTAGATCTGTGTAAACATCTGTCTGGGTATTACAGGGGGAGGCCTTGAGTAGGAATTTCCATCTTTCATTTGCCAGCCTTCCAAAATGGACTGAATTCATCCTCACCAGAGTTCTGATTCACTAAAGAGAATATAGTTCTGAATGAAAGGAAAACGTTACCTTGTCAAGTAGAAGCTGGAACTGGGCATCCCGGATTCTTCCTTGATTAGAGAAGAAAAATTTGGAGAAAGGAATCTGAAAAAAGAAAACCATTTATTTCATAGCTGAAATGTAAGTAACTGAAGCATTTGTATGTAATTGTAATGATAAAAGAATGATAGTTTAAATTTAATTATAAAATTATTTCATAGATGCAGTTATGACAAGTGGCTAGTCATCTGGATCACAGATATGAAACTAAGAAAATGATAAAATAACCCAATAGAAATATGGGGGTGAAGAGAAACAGGCACACTTGTAAACTGTTAGGAGTGAAAAATTATTAAAACTCTTAGAGGGCAGCTGGCGATTGTGGTAGGATTCTAAGATGGCTCCCAAGACTTCCAACTTCCAGTGTACACGCACCTTCTTTGAGGTATTCGAACACTAATCTCAATGTTGCTATGAAGGAACTTCACAGAAATAAGGTCCTAAATCAGTTGACTTTTTTTATAGGTTATTCTCTGTAGGCCTGACTAAATCATTTGAACCCGTAAAAGGGACTGACTGATAAAAGATTAGAAGCATGAAGGGATTCAATGGGGTGGGGGGATTCTCCACTGCTGGCTTTGAAGATGGAGGCAGCTACATGGAAAGGAGTGCGGGCAGCTTCTAGGAACAGAGAGTGGCCCCTCACTGACAGCCAGTAAAGGAAGGACAGCAGCCCTGCAGTCACAGGAACTGAATTAGCTAACAACCAGGAGGAGCTTGGAAGATTCTTGCCCAGAGCCTCTAGAAAGGAATACAGACCAGCTAACACCTTGAGCACAGCATTATAGGGCCCTGAGCATTGAACCCAGATCTACTGTCTCAACTTATGACCTACAGAACTCTGAGCTAATAAATGTGTTTTTGAAGTTGCTAAGTTTATGGAAGTTTTTTTTATGTAGCAATAGAAAACCAACAGCACTAAAAAAATTTAAAATGTCATAACTGACCTACCAATTTCACATTTAGGAATTTATATTTCAGACAAACTCTGATAAATACATAAAGATATAGTTTTTTCTAACAGCAAAAAAAATAGAGAGAGAGAAGACCTTCACAATATATTAGTCAAAAAGTAAGATATAGATAGCCCTGACTGGTTTGGCTCAGTGGATAGAGCGTCAGCCTGCAGACTGAAGGGTCCCGGGTTCGATTCCGGTCAAGGGCATGTACCTTGGTTGCGGGCACATCCCCACTAGGGGAGTGTGTAGGAGGCAGCTGATCGATGTTTCTCTCTCATCAATGTTTCTAACTCTCTATCCCTTTCCCTTACTCTCTGTAAAAAATCAATAAAATATATTTAAAAAAATGATACAGACAAATCTACAAGTTTTTTTAAATTAATTTTTAAAACGTCTCAAAAACTGTGATAAAATATTCATTATAGCAATTGGTAACACCCCAAATGACTATCAATACAGGACTTATTCAGTCAACTATGAGATATCCACATAACAAAATACAAAAACACACACAAAAAGAATGAAAAATATTCCATGTAGTGATATGGAAGGTCTTCAGGATCTAAATATTAAAAATAGAAACAGAAGATGCACAAACTATGCAATTTTTATTTTTTCAGTTTAAAAAAGGAGAAAATTATATTCCTATTTGCTTATATTTGCATAAACTACAAAGCGCCTGGCTGGTGTGGCTCAGTGATTGAGCATGGACTT